AGCGGCACCCACCATCATGAAGCGTTTCACGTGTGGATAGCTAGACACGAAGTCTTTGCCCTCCGGATAGGAATAAGAAACGAGTAAATCTGACCCTACATACTCTGAAATTGATGCGCACCTGCACTATTAAATAAAGAAATATTTTGTTCTCGACAAAGCGGGCCGCCTTTTGGGCATGGTCAGCATATTGTCATATTATACATGATAGCATGAGTAGCAGCACCAAGTGCGGGAGTATTACAGTTGGAGAGAATAGTGTGGGCCCATATGGCCCAAAGCTTGTACGAAGTCTATGTCCACAGAATGCGAGATGTAGAGATAAGAAGCAGATCACTAAGGTAGAGTAGGTTGATGAGAAACTAGGCCGATGGAGTTATGTACACCGTGCGGGTCAGGTGAGTTAAGCAGGTGGAAAAGGCTGCAAAAATATTTAAGTATAATGGCATGTAACTGATCAAATATGTAGGCGTGTTCGAGCGAGAGCAGGTATATGCACAGAAGTTGTAAATGTGGTAGCGGTCAACTTGCCAGTGTGTGTTAGGGGCGGTGAATTTATTGAGTGGCGAGTCACATCCGCCACGACGCAGTGTTGTTAAACAATTGTGTAGCTTTTTGTAGGGAAAACGCTTGCTAGCCGAAGACACACCACGTCCTATAACGCTGCCGACATCTGACTGTCATCTGACTCTTGGTATTTCTTCCAGCCTCGACAGGCGTCAAAGACAATGGCGAATGCTGACTGAGCCCTTTGATCAGCCGTCCGAGAAAACAAAACATAACTCGACGGCGCTTAACCGACTGGACGGTCGGTCTAGGTTTATTGACCAGTTACATAATACCATTCAGAAGGATCGAAGACGGTATTCCAGGAGGTGGTAAGTAGTCACGTGACAAGCTTTTATAAAAAGTCAAAGAAGCCTTACAACAACACTGCGACGTGGCTCAGGTGACCCACCACTGAATAAAGTCACTGCCCACAATTACACACCGGCAAATTGTCTAGAGTCAGATTTTAGTATTTTCTCGACAGGTACCAAAAAATGATACTCTGTCGCATATGACGTCACCACTTAACTTACTGTGCACTTAATTTTTACACTACGCTTACATGAGCCCAAGTTATCAGCAAGGCACGCACTACTTGGTTCCTCATGAGCACTTACATTTATGCATATCGTACCAAGGTTGGTCAAAACCAATTTCCTGCTTAGCAACCGGTCTGTTGCGAAAAATATTGCCTCGTAGATTTTCATCCTGCCTAATTTCGGTGTGCGGCATAGAATTTGAGAATAAAATTATTTTTACAGTTTTTATTAGTCGTCGCTCACGGAGAATTATTTCTCATTGGACAGCAAATGTGCTAAAGTGTCTGTCAGCATTGGTCACCATAAACCACCCCGCCTTGAATCTCATTCGCCGCAACAGACTTCTGACTCTTCTGTGGTTAAAGAAGCTCCTCCACAGAAACTCTACCAACCCTAACTCTGTGTGACTCCGGTACTCCCTCCTCTTCCTAATCCCTGCCGGTCAATACACGGGCACACAAAAGCGTACACGTTTTGGAGGTGCAGTTATTCATTTTTAAACTAGGTACTTGTGTCACATAGCGCTTATCGTGTCTTTGTGCTCGTGCCCTAGGCAAGCGTCCAGTAGAGCTTGTAAGCTGAAATTATTCGCGTGTTGCTCCTCCCAACAATGGCACTGGTGTGCCTGATGCTATTGCCCAAAGTTACTGACTGACTTACTTACCCAAGGAAAGTAAGAACATACCCCTGATGTTGATGATGTACGGCTAGGTGCCGATGGTTTGGATATCGCTAAAACGCCAAAAAGAGATGAAGTCCGATATAGTTAGAACGCATTTGCGGTAAAAAACTTAATATCATGCTGTGTGGTGTGGCGTACGCATAGAGCGCGTTTTTCAGTTGTTTTGTGATAAGAAAAACTAAGAGTGACTTTTACTTCAAAAATTGAGTTAGCTTACGAAATACATATTGCATTTTGATTTGCTACAACGATGAATGGTTTAACTTCGTTGGCCGTTAAGTGAGACCTCGACCAAGTTGTACGAAATTGCTTTGTGTGAAAAGAAATTGCATACTATACTACTAACGTTGGGAAAGTTGGATAGTCAGGCTTTGATAGTAAACCTCCCTAAGTTGAACATCTCGTCAGGGTCCACAATGTAGCGAGAGTGGCCGGCCCACGATAAGTCTATTGGGCAGTACCGTTCCCAATCGTGAAGCAGCGAAGGCACGGAAGCAACGAGACGAACGGGCATTTTGCTACACGCTGTTCCCGTGTATAAGCTAAACGTACGGCGCCGAACGACGCATCCAGCTGTGGAGGGATGTGCGGGACCGGGCGATGGAACGGCGTGTTGAATCCAACCGTGGCGCCGTGTGTTGGACCACACGACCAAATGTAACATAGCTATTTGTATTCTGCAATCAACCTTTAAGTGAACCATAAGGTATGTTTACCTACTATTTTGCACTATATACTTAGGCACCCCAGGGGAACCACCCGATCGTTACGACCTTTCTAAGTTGACCAAGTTGATCCAGTCCGTTGGGTAGTAAACTTACGCTAGTTCTACCCCATGTGAATCCATTACTCTCCTGCTAGGTATGTAAGTGCGTTGTAGTGTTTGCAACTGCGTTGCTATTACTTGCCTGAAGGTGATGGCGTTGAGTGCCTATAGGAATGTTTGACGTCGATGGATTTGATAAGCGTGTTCTGGTAAGCAAAGGCGGTAATATTAGTTGGTGGCGTAACAGTCGGCAATTGGTGGTGTTGTAGAAGCTCAAGTTCAAGTTCGGGTGGGACTGGGACGATAGGAAAATCCCGTGAGTGTTCCATGTTGAGTGGGTCGTTGAGCTAGGAAGTGATAAAGTGCTCAGAGTTATTGGTGGATCTAAAACGGAACACCCATATCGCAACCTGGCCAACCAGTTAATGTCCACGTTTCCTGCCCTAGCAGTTCCTGCTGTGGCAGTCACGTGAAGTGAACGAAGGATAGGAAGAGAAATCGAAGGCGCAGAATAAGGCACTTGAACTAAGCAAATAATATCAATGCATGAAGATAAGTAGAGAAAAGAAAATCGAAGTACAAAGATGCTAGTTACTCAGGAAAATGGAAAGGGTTTGTGTTGCCACCAAAGAGCGTCAAACTGCCGCTTAAACCCCTTAACCGGAGATTCCTTGATAACACTTTCCGGAAGCCTGTTTCAGTGATCGGTGATTGCGTGACAGCCGGATTCCCGCTAATCCGATCGGACCGCGGTTTGTCAATCATCATAGAAGGACCTGGTAGAACAGAAAATCTAGCGGGACTGAACGGAGAATATAAATCTGAACAACCTTCCCAATTAAAACATGATAGGTAAGGATCAGGTATCCTGTAAGCCTTCGGTAGGGCATTGAATGAATTCCCAAACTAAGTAGACGCTCGGGGTACGTCCGTCCCCGTAATCCCTTGACTGAACTAGTACCCACTCATAAAACCCTTATAGCTCCATTTTGTCCCTGACGAGGCAGGGCAGACATGCCTGGACGCAGTATTCCAAATGAGGCCAAACGAAAGCCGAGAACAGTCTCGTAAAGATGCTGCCCGGCATGACTCCGAACGATCGTCGTATTATTCATAACAGGCGGAAACCTCTGCCTGCAGCGTTCTTTCAGTGTTCTCCGAGTGTAAAGCCGAAGAGTGTACGGCGCCTAGGTCAACTTGGCTAGATACACTGGGGAGTTCGACCCCACCGACCAAGTACTTCACAGGAGGACAACCCGTTCTACTTCGAAGAACGGAGCATCTTGCCTGATTTAGGGGAAGCAACCATAAAGTAGACCAGTCCCAAAGCTTATCCAATGCTCGCTGAATAGCATCGGAACCCCCGGGAACAGCGACAATGTTCCACCGCTTCAGGCATTCTGCAAAAGGCAGCAATGGTATCTTAATCTCCGTGGGTAGGTCATTCACATGGATAGGGAACAGCAATGGTACAAGGACCGAGCCCTGCGGCAAGCCACAGAGGACAGACTGACTAACCGATAGGCCCCGTTCTACTCGTACCCAATGTTCGCTACCCCTCAAGAAGGCAGTCACCCAACGAAGGGCGAAGCCAAATACGCCGTAGGAGGTCAGCTTTGGCTCGAGCCTCAAATGGGGTACCTTGTCAAGTGCCTCCAAAAAGTCGAAAAACAACACGTCCAGTGCGTAGCCGTTAGCCTCTGCATCCGCCCAACATCCGCGAGCCACCTATAGATTCGTCGGACACGAAAATCCCTTCCGGAATCCGTGTTGTATATTGCTAAGTAGATGAACTGTACTCAGTTGACTTTACAATAAATCGCTTATCAGGTTCTCGAGGAGTTTGACTGCCATATTTGTCAGATTAACTGGACTGTAATTTGCAAACAGACTCCGGTCCCCAATTTTAACGATGGGATAGATGAAAGCTTCCTTCCTTGCATGAGGCAATGCACAATTGTCAAGCGGTTTCTGATTCGCCATGCCGAGCGCTCCAGTTAGTTCCGCAGCCAACTCATGCAACAACTTCGGGTGAATGAACTCAAGCACAGAAGCCTTAGAAGGGTAGAGCCCTTGTAACAGCCCACAAAGTTCCGTCCCCGTTACAATAAATTCAGATATTCTTGAACTCTCTGGGATACTGCAAACCAGTTCACGGCATGTCAAAGAGGTTTCCCTTACAAACGCTGCTGCATATTGCCCACTAAGTACACAGGCATTGTCATACGCCGAATGCGCATGAATACCGTCATCGCTAAAGCTATCAAACCTTAATAGGGTTTACAATTGCCACAATCATAAGTAGCAACAATGTGTTACAATAAGGATATTTCTTTTTACTGAAAGACTGTTTGCCCTAAATTACTTGCGTTTAAATCTTCCACAATAGCAATTACCGAACACGAAAACAAGTGCAGCACCTATTCTTTTCCTCTACCAGTTTCCGAGTTTTTAAACGGGCATAATGTTTATGAGGGGAAACATATTCAAAAACTTCAGAAAGGATGAAGATTGTCTAAACAATTCAACAGCTAAACGGAAGGAGCCCATAAACTCCTCGGAAAAGGATTTCCCACTTTGGGGAGGTCTCGGCAGCGATGGGGTTTCTTGTGACTTAGATGATGAAGATGAATTTGAATCAAATTCATTTATGTTGGGCTCATCAGTTTCAGATCTAAGCAGTTTTGATGACGCAGAATGGTCAACATCTGATTCCTTCACAGAAAGAAAAAACCACAGCACTCGTTCGAAAATCGGTAGCATTAGCAGACAACGTGACAACGTTAGGAAAAATGTTAAGCCTGTAAGATCGGAAGAGGAAAAAGATATGCTTAAAAAATTTGACGCAGCTGGATTAACATCCCCTCCATCCAGTTCTCGGAACAAGGTTCCAGCAGCTGCATCATCTATGTTAAATTTTCTCAAGAAGAGAAGCAGTGACGATATATCCGAATCCATAGATAGCAGGATAAATAGCAGCACAGATACGGTTACACCTTCCTTCAGTCGAACTCAGTCAACTAAATGTGAATTTGTGGATGAATTTCATTCGCCTACGTTGGAAAATCAAGTTACTGAATCGGAACCGGAGATGGTAGACTCAAGATCAGAGCATGAGGAAGGATACTATAAAGATAACAACAAGTAAATTTTCGAGTTCTCTTAACCCTGATTATTAGTTTAAATCATATGTGCAATATGCTGAGAATAGAAATGGAAGACATCCGAAAATGGAAGAAACGTGCAGCTGAAGAAATAGAGGACAAGGTTTCTTTCTGGGTTATTGACAAATATCGTCATAGACTAAACAGCTAAAACGAGCAGAGATAACGATAGAAAACCTTAGGAAGTCAAACCTAGAGTTACAGGTAAATGGTGCGCACAAATTATTCTTAGATGAATCTCGAAAACGTGAGCATGAAATACAACAACGAGCTAGACAATCGTGGCCGGATAACTCAAAGGTATGCGCACTAAATAAGTGGCATGAAGGCTTTGAGGAAATATTAAAGGAGGTTCACTCGGTGCAAGCGAAGTGTGAGCAGCTAGAGACGGAAGAATTGAAAAGTACGATAATGTTTGACGAACGAGTATTTAGTATGCCATGGAAATGAAGAGATAGAGGCAAAAATAAGCGAAACAATAGAACTCTATGATGCGTTGAACAAGGTGCTCCTAGAACATATCCCAAAGTGTGCTAATAAAATAAAATTTATGGAAGAAGAAGGTAACTATGCGGATTTGTATCGTTTGACATGTGCAAAGCAAAAGCTAATTTAGAGAGCAATACATGCCTTAAATCAGAACTGAACGCATGCATGGATGAAGTGGAGATGCTGGTGATGATGTTACTGCTACTGTTTATTTACCAGAAAGAAAGCATTTTGACTGAGACAGAACGACACAACATGGAGCTCAAAGAGCTTCAAAAGGAAATTGATAAGCTAAGCACCAACAACGGTTTGTGATTAAAACAACAATGACATGAATATAGTTGAATTACATGAGTGCAAAGAGAGTCTATCTAACAAGTGCAAAGATACTGAAAGATTACTGCTAAAGAAAGAGAGAGATGTGACTTCATTAGAAGTGGGTTAAAGTCCTCTACTGTTCACAAAATAGGAAGAGTTAAAGCTGCAAAAGGAAGAAGCGGAAGTTAAAGAATCACAAATAAAAGCGATAAACCAAGAGTTACAATTAGTGAGCAATATTAGTTTAAAAACATCCAGGACAATTTAAGGCAAAAGCATCAATCTGTGAAAAATCAATCGCGTTGGAGACAGCAGAACGATTTAGGGGCAGACTTGAAGAAGAAACCACAAAACTAAAATATGAATTAGATTCCTTAAAAAGCGAATGTCAGAAAGAGAAGAAATCAATTGCAGAAAGTTTGCGCATGATACACACGAACGTGGAGTGCATGTATAACAATTCGCACATTCGGTATTTTACACGTTGTTAGTTTATCTGCTAACAGAGATAATATATGTCTGGAAGAAGTCATTACAGGATTGAAAGGTAAGCTTCAGTAAAAGCAAGTCAGTCCTTAGATGAATACACTTTAAAAAGTGAAATAATTCGGCTATGTGAGGAGAATATGGTGAGAATGTGACGCTTCCAGCATTAAATACAAAAATGTTACAACTTTGTCTAGAAGTACCAAGAAGATCAACTGTATCAAATAAAAAAGGAATCGGCGAAGCTCTCTGAACTGACTAACAGTCAAAAATTCGAAATAACAGGACTTAAAGAAGAACTAGAAAAGCTAAAAGTAAGAACAGATTAAAATTTTACGTTAAGTGCGCAAACGATGGAGCAGAAGAAAAATATACAATGCTTAACAATGAACTCCATTCAGAAAAAGAAGCTAAAAACAAATTACTTTTGGAAAAGGAGAAACTGGCTGTAATTAAAAAAAAAATAAAATTTTATTTTTCAGGAGATAAATAACTGCAAAGACGAAGACATAGTGAAACTCAATGAAATTATAAAGGGCAACGACGAAAAGTTAAAACTGTCTGTGTACGTAGATCCATATAGAAATAATCATAGACAGTGAAAAGAATAACCTGCTTGCTGAAAACTTGAGAAAAACTACGGAGAGTTTCAAAGAAATGGAATATAAGGAGGCCATGCAACAGCAAAAGATTGCAACGCTTGAAGCAAAAATGAAAGTAAGTTTATTCTCTTACAATTAACAGAGCTTGATATAATGTATTTTCTGTAGTATAGGGTAGTCTTGAAAAAGCAGTGTGATACCAAAGTGAAGCGGCGATAGGCGTTAAGTAAAACACATGAAAAATTATAGGATAAAAAATGATGAAGTTGGAAGCTCCTGTGATTCGCTGAAATACATAGTGTTCTAGAGAAGATAAATTTCAAAATTTCTCCATTTTCATTCCAGTTATAAGTAATACTCTAAAGTAAGTAATTTAGAAAAACGCGATTACTGCTTTGAAAGTATGGTTGGCGTGTGAACAGTAAACCAAACAATTTACTACATCAATTTAAAGCAAAAATCTAATAAAAATATAAGTCATTCTACTGAACAGAACGCATCCAGTAGTAAAAGAAAGTGGACATAGTTTAAATAAATTCCAACACGGTGCATCGAACCCTGATGAGGTAAATTCTGCTTTTATTCATCAGCATTATAAGAATAGTTCTAACGAATTAACAAGGTTAGTATTGGGTTTTGAATGCAAAACATCACAGGGGTAGTAAAGAAGTACTGACAGTTATACAAAATGCTTATATTCAACTGTCGCATTTAGCTGAACTATGACCAGTGGGAACCACAATTGCCAAAGAAGCCAAATCCGTAGTCAATAGTCCTAAAGACCATATGCACCAACTGTGGTCAGTACTTCATGCGATTTTAAGATTTCTGAATAGATGGCGCCCGGGATTTATCAATTCAGGACTGATTGATTCACGCAGTGTGCATCTTGATGTGAAGTTGATGGGCATGTTACTAAAAATAACTAGTAAACAACAGCAGTTCACATTCACTAAAAGACAGGTTGGGTAAAACTAATTAGGGAGCGCTGGTCGATTCTGTCATCAAAAGCTATCAGCGCTTGTAGAGTAGTAACAGATGTGTAACGGTTCCAGCCGTCATTATTACACACAGGTCAAGTTTCTGACTCAAAAAACAAATATTGTAAGTTAATGCATGCTTATTTCGATAACCGAGCCGACATCTTTTGCGCCCATATGAAAGCATCGAAAATTCCCACATTTCTTATCAGAAGGCGTTAGAACATTTGCGGAGAATTGACCAACAGACGTGAGACACTTACCTTGCTAACTGCATCGGTACTGAATAAAATATGGAATAAATAATGTAAATCCCGGTTCCAATAATAAAAGAAAATTCCCAAAGAAATCATTTGCTCTGCGTTCGACTTTTCCTCGGTGTGTGCATATGCCAAAATTGGCATGCCTGTTGCAGATTAGCCAAAAGGCAGCACTTATCCGAACACAATACACCAGCTCAATAGATATCTGCCGCTTATGGGAAACCTGATTAAAAATTCTAGCTCTGTGCTTACCCCACGATCCCTCACAGGCGACGATGGCGGCAACCGGTCCGTTGTCGAAAGGACAAGACGAATGCCTTGCAAACCGGGGGTTGCAGAGCCGAACACAGTTCCTGGCATCAAAAATTACCAGTAAGACCAACCACGGATACCGAGCATACGGAAGTGAAAGGTTACCGAACCCAATGTATATTGTACGAGCTACAAAGAACTTGAAGTCAATTAGCGAAGCACAAAAGGAGGAATCGCACGACTCATGGGAAGATCAAAGTTGAACGCCAGGTGCGTTCTGTAAAACAAATGGGCTGTCAGAAGATGCAAGCAAGAATAAAATCCATTTTCGCGAGTAATTGAAGGCGTATATGCTTCACGTTCACTACAGGGTCTTTCCCTAGAAGACTGAGGGGGGAAGCCTAGGATAAATCTCAGGTAGGGGGAAGATCTGAGGAATGTGGAGTCAAGCAAAGATAGAGGGTGCATTCATGTAAAAAGGAGTTGGTGGAGTTCAGTTGGTCCGGTATTCTTTGTCATTTATTGTGTAATATTTGGGTGTGGGCCATCGGGGCGGGCTGGTCAGACTGCAAAATACTGGCTATTTCGGAAAAAGGACTGATAAAACATTGCTACCGCTGCAGACCCAACGGTGCGCTTGGGAAGTGTCAATCCCCCCTGCAGTCCAGTTTACGTCACGTGAAGTGCTAGTCGGAAAATTCTAGCGTTCCTGGATTATATGCTACCGTGCCTCCGATTTACGTCTTAATCCAGCCTGTATATATTCATTTGATCAGGTTCAAATTGCTCTTTCCAAAGCGCAGCGTATATCGAGTCCACATATAATAGACGACTACCACCCGTCGAGTTTTAGAGTTTCCGTTTTCTCTGCGGAGGTATATACGAGAAATTTCTTTCGGTTTACATCCTGCACCACAAATCTTAACCTTTTGTGAAAGCCTAACATAAGAGCTCGCTAACAATTACACGACTGCTTTTATCGATAGCTGCGTAAGGTAGACACAGCCGGCAATATAAGAGATCTACCGCTAATCTTTCGATTGTGTCGCAGTCACTGAGGCTGCCACCTAAAACCAACCCACTGGCTACACACTACTAGTGCCATACTAAGAGGCGCTCTGAAAGGATCGATAGCCTGTGCTTCGTTCTGAGTCTTCTCTGGATTCACCTGCAACCACTTGTGACCTGTCACGAGGAAAAGCAGGAAAGCCTGTGCTGATCCGACTGCTAATTGGTATGTAATTGGAACGGTGAGACAACCACAACACGCTTGGAATTGGTGGAAAGCTCGCGTTTCCAAAGTAACGATGTGTGCAACTCGGAGGCAGCGATCCAAATAGTTCACTGCTGTGCGTTCTTTTTGTTCTTAATTAAATCGCCCAGTTGCCCGGAGCGACCACTTTTCCCAGCATTATATTAGATGTGGATTTTCAGTTAAAAATTAGAGGCTAGCACACATTGTCTTAACTCCTCTGATTGCGTTTCAGTATATCTTACTTCGGTTTCATTATCATGTCGGCAGTAAGCAAACGCTCGGTGAGGAAAAAAGTATTATAGGCCAGTATGTTTCCATTTTTACTCAAAAGCTTGGAAAAAGAACTAAGGTACTCCGCCCAATGGTTGGAAGCAGTAGTAAAGAAAATACCCAAAGCAGTGTAGGCGTTATGGGAAATTCCCTTGGACTACATGCTGACCTGAGAAATGTCCATCAGTAGCTGAAACTGCATAGGCTGAACTTGCATTAAAAGCTGACATGCTCACATTGATATTGCAACCTTTGCAGTCTAACTGCCTTATTTAATTCACACTCAAATATTGATAAAAGGAATCTCACGAAATGTGGTGTACTGATAGACTCATTTTCGACGGAAATACACAATCGAGTACGCCGTTCAAGCAATGCGGTGGGTCTTAATGTGTCAGACAATAGACCATTAAAAACAGTTTAGTGTTTCTCAATGCATGCGGGTTGCAACCTTGTTGGTCCAGCTGCATCAGACTGCGCAAAAATGTAATGCGGTACGCGTGTCTCATACTTTTCTAGTTTCAAAATGAACGTATTGCTAAACACTTCATTCAAAAGCGCAATCTCATTGTGCTTGATACGACTTTCAAAGGTCTGAAAAGTATGAGGACAAAACCCCGCTACAACGAGAGATGAGGAGAAAGCCTGAGGTAAACCAGAATACCAAACAACCATCTGGCGCCCCGCATGCAGTTGATATTGCTCCACTTAGTGGCCACCACAAATTTGAGAATAATACTCCGCTTGCTACAAATAGGGGCAAAGCGATGAATAATAAAGTGATTTTTGCAATCAAGAAGGAATCACACAAATATGCGGGCCGCTCTATTACATTAGATGATGTGTCTGACAGAACACCTAATTCTCGCACTTTGGAGTTAAGATCGTCAGATGAAAAATTGGTTACTGGAGGACCTCCACCAGGCCGCAGTTCCACAACTAAGCAGGATAAGCCGACCAAGCCCAAAACGATTACAACCTACAAAACTAGTGCTTTGGATGGTGCTTCCTCCTGAATAATCAGTTCTGGCAGTCACATCGGGTTTCCTAATGCAGGTTCCTACATGTGAAGTGACAACAATGTGGATTAGCAAATACCAACTGCATTACCTGCCAAATCCCTATTGCATGCGAAACCGCTACCTTAAGCTGTCATGTCTCGCCTAAAGTCTGCTCTGGCCAGTGTGCAAACTTATCGAGAATATCGATGGATCCGGTCAAATTGAACGATAATAAAAGGACGGTTGACCTAGATTTATCGCAAGCAACAATGGCGACTCTGTACCGTCATTTTTTGGGTAGTCGTACATCCACTGGTCATAAAGTTATGGAAGACGTGCCACCATCTTTGCACCCTACACACGGTGTAATTGGGTACCACGACTTTCCGATTCCATCAAGGAACGATACAGATGATGCTGATGGTTGTGTATGGATTGACATTAGTGTGCTTCCACCGAGAATAGTGAAGCTTAGTATATCGAGCGCAAGTAAACGGATTTTACCCATAGATGTAAATGATAGCTACCCACTGACTCCTATCAATGCGTCACGTAATCAACAGCCTACTAGTGACATGATGAAGATGACATAACCTAACTCACCAGCTCCCACAGGCTATTACAACAATCATGGACTCTGTTCCTCGAACTATTTTCTAGTTGGTCATAGTCAGTCGCAACCCCCTGCGTTGTGGCCGCCTCCAAATTATTTTCCACCTTTGGTAATACACGCATTTTTCAACAACCTCTAGCCCGGGTCCAGGCACACGGCTTGAAACCCGTGTTTATAACACAGCCTAAACAATCTTCTTCATATCTCACATATATCTCAGCAATTCTGATAAATATTTGTTCTCTTCACTCTAAGAGCCACACACTACGCTTATTTGTTTTGGTGAATAATCCTGATATGATATTTATTACTGAATTTTGGTGCCATGAAGATATGTCTGGCAATCAGTTAACTATTTTCGAATATGGCAAGTGTACGAGAAATGGGCCTAGTCGTCGAGGTGGTGGCTGCGTAATTTATCCGAAAAAATTGCTCGCAGCTGCAACATTCGAGAACCCAGTGCTGAACGGTGTTCAGAAAC